TGATGGGTGGTTGTTAATGCTATTATTAAGTCAAATGGGGCTGATGTCTCCAGGCTTCCTGAGCTCTCCAGCCACTGTAGCCTCACCCCTCCATTTAGCTGGCCTTCCAGAGCCTCTGTCTTCCAAGCCCTTCCAGAATGCTTGTACCTCTTAACCATGGCGCCATGCCTCCAGCCCTGTGCATGCTGTTTCCCCTTCTTAGACTTCTTTCTCCATCTTGTTCTCAGTTCAGTGGCATCTTCCTTGATGCCATCCTCCTTCCACTCAGCCTCCTCAGTGCCCCAGGCTGAGTTAGAGGTGTCTTCTGGGCCCCTTCTGCCCCCGGTGACTCCCATTATCACAGCCCTGATCACTGTGGCTGTCACTGCCCTGTCTGCCTGTCTCCTGTAGGCTGTGAGCTCCTAAAGGGGCAGGCCTAGGTCAGTGTCCACTTTCTGTGTCCCCAGAGCCCAGTCCCAGGCATAGCCTAGAGCACGAGATTCATGGATGCTTGTGGGAGGGAAGAAGAGAGGAAATTAGCCCAGGGCTCAGCTCACCCCTGGATACTGCACACAGCCTCATCCCAGTTAAGCAGAAGAGGTGTCGGGGCTGCTGAGGGAGGGATGTGTACCTCTGCACTGTCTGTCCATCTGGCCCTGCATCTTTCTCTCCAGGTAGACCAAGCAGACAGAATGTCTTCCCCAGTGGGGGATGGAGGTGGTGAGGGGTGCGCGTGTGTGCAGAAATGGGGGGCAGACTCTTGGGTCTGGAATTGTTTAGAGGTTGGCATAAACCACAGCAATGGACGTGACTCTCTGGGCTAAGCTGATGGGCACTGACTCAGGCAGAAACTTGGGTTAGAACCCATGCTTGGATGTGTGACCTTAGCCAAGTTACCAGTCCTCTGTGCCTCAGTTTCCCCATCTGCAATAGGTGTGTGGGAGGGTAATAATCCCATTTCACAGGGCATTTTGAGAGCAGTTAGAGAGAATGACAGTTGAACACCCAAGCAGTACGTACTCACTGCTGCTTCATTGATTCATCCAACAGAGATGAATGGCTTGAATACCAGTCACTAGGCTATGCCCTGGGCACAAAGAGATAGACACTGTCCCAGCCTCTGAAGAGAGGGACAGGGGAAGCATCAGGTGGGGCCTTTTAGGCCATGGAAAAGAACTTGACCTTTACCCTAAGAGCAGTGGGAAGCCAGGGAAGGATTTCAAATTTAGAAATGACATGGTTAGATTTGGGTTTTAAAGACGTATCTTTGGAGATGATGGAAGAGACAGGTTAGGGGAAATAATGCTTCCAACATTCTTCCTTAAAGAAACTACCTAGAGGTAGATGAGTTACCACGAACATCTCTTAAAGGACATTCCTGGCCAGGCACAGTGGCTCATGCCTGTGATCCCAGCACTTTGGGAGGCCAAGGTGGATGGATTACCTGAGATCAGGAGTTAGAGACCAACCTGGCAGCATGGTGAAACCCTACTAAAAATATTAAAAAATGAGTCAGGTGTGGTGGCGCATGACTGTAATCCCAGCTACTCAGGAGGCTGAAGCATGAGAATCGCTTGAACCCAGGAGGAAGAGGTTGCTGTGAGCCAAGATTGCACCACTGCTCTTCAGCCTGGGCAACAGAGCAACACCCCATCTCAAAATAAATAAATAAATAAATAATAAAGTGCATTCTTGCGCTCCCACAGAAGTAACAGAAACCCCCTAGAGCCAAGAGTGAAGAAAGAACTGCAGTTAGGCTGGCAAATAAGATGAAGCCGCAGCAGCCTCAGAGTATTTACACATTTCAGAAATCTGAAACCAGGAGTTTCAACAGCCACTCCGTGGATGGGAAATAAGGTCTTGGGCCCACACAGTTACAGTTTGAGGAGTTGGAACTTAGCATCCCCTGACTCAACACATAAATCTGGGACCCACCAAGGGCTACACTCAGTGAATAGGAGGATTGGCTAGAAAAAAGGCCCACCCCACCAGCAAGGGGAGACAGCATTTCTAGTGGGGAGAAAAAAAGACTCTCTAAAAAATTATAAATACCGGTCTGCCATTGAATAAACTTTGGGTTTGATGGCATACTACTACCTTTGTGGTCCTGGAAACCACAAACTTAAAAAGTAACTTAAATGGTCTCAGAGTGGTAGTTCCCTGGGGAACCTGGCCAAAGTAAATGAAAAATCCTTCCTGGAGCAATGTGTCCTGTCCCACAGTCCCTCTGGATCTGCCAAACATGAATTTGTAATATAATTACAAAACACACGAGGAAATAAGCCACTGTGAGCAGCAGGCACCAGAAATAAGAAAGAGCAGAATTAGTTTCCCTGAGAGTCTGAAATGCTAGAATTATGAGATATAGAATAGAAAGAATTATGATTAAAATGTATAAAGGGGCTGGGCATGGTAGCTCACGCCTGTAATCCCAGCACTTTGGGAGGCTGAGGCGGGTGGATCACATGAGGTCAGGAGTTCAAGACCAGCCTGGCCAACATGGGGAAACCCTGTCTCAAAAAAAAAAACAATGTATAAAGGAATTGAAAATTGACTTGAGGCAGGAAACATGATACTACCCCAAGTAACTAAGATTTGAAAAAGAACCAAGTGGAATTTTGTAAAATGAAAAATATAATCATTGAAATGAAAAATTCAGTAGACAGGATAAGCAGCAGGTAGAGGCACCTAATGAAATTACTCAGGATCTGACAGAGAGTCCAAGAGATGGTATAGAAGTTAGTTAAGAGACATGAAATGTAGAATAAAAAGGTCTAACAGAGGAGAGGGAAGAAAGTGGAAAGAGTGGAATGGAGAGTTTTCGAACAGACCTGGGTAAAGATGGTGCTGGCCTGGACCAGAAAGCATTGGACAGAGAAGGTGTGGATTGAGAGACGTTAGGAAGTAGGCCGGGCACTGTGGCTTATACCTGTCATCTCAGCACGTTGGGAAGATGAGGTGGGAGAATCTCTTGAGCCCAGGAGTTCAAGACCAGCCTGGGCAACTTAAGAGACCCCATGTCTGTAAACATTTTTAAATGAAGGAAAAAAAGTCAGGAAGTAGTCTGGGTGCGGTGGCTCATGCCTGTAATCCCAGCACTTTGGGAGGATGAGGTGGTCGGATCACGAGGTCAAGAGATCGAGACCATCCTGGCCACCATGGTGAAACCCTGTCTATACTAAAAATACAAAAATTAGCCAGACGTCGTGGCACATGCCTGTGGGCCAAGCTACTCAGGAGACTGAGGTAGAAGAATCGCTTGAACCTAGGAGGCAGAGGTTGCAGTGAGCCAAGATTGTGCCACTGCACTCCAGCCTGGCGACAGAGCAAGACTCTGTCTCAAAAAAAAAAAAAAAAAGTCAGAAAGTAGAATTGATGGGGTTTAGTGATGGAGGGGATGACAGAGGCCAGGGAAGTTATGTGGCAAAGATGACCATCAGATTTTTGGCTTGGGGAACTGGGTAGAGGAGTGTTGCTTATTAAAATTGTGGACAGGCATGGTCTCACACCTGTAATCCCAACAGTTTGGGAAGCTGAAGCAGGAGGATTGCCTGAGCCCAGGAGTTCGCTGAGACCAACCTGGGCAACATGGTGAGATCCCATATCTACCAAAAAACAAAGAAAAAGAAAAGAAAGGCCCAGATTGAGAACAGATTTGGGAGAATGAACAAGAGTTCAATTTTGAAAAAGACACAGCCAGGCATGGTGGCTCACGCCTGTAATCCTAGCATTTTGGGAGGCTGAGGTGGGCAAATCATGAGGTCAGGAGTTGTAGACCAGCCTGGCCAACATGGTGAAACCCCATCTCTACTAAAAATATAAAAATTAGCTGGGTGTGGTGGCACACGCCTATAATCCCACCTACTCAGGAGAATTGTTTGAACCCAGGAGGCAGAGGTTGCAGTGAGACAAGATCGTGCCACTGCACTATAACCTGGGCGACAGAGCAAGACTCAGTCTTAAAAAAAAAAAGAAAAAGACATATTTCAAATTGTCTGGGAAGAGCTGCTGATGCATCTCAGAAGAGGAGACTTTACAGCTGGGCCTTAAGATATATGTAGGAGTTTACCTGGTGGAGAGGGAATTTCTTTGAACTAACTTTTGGAAAATAGGATTTCCCTTCAGGAGGATCATCGAGCTTCTTTCTGGAACATTCTTTCACTCAAAGGAGGCCCCTTGAGAAGAGGCATTATCAAAATATCAAATAGACAGGGCTTCTGGGATCTCTTAGTTTCATTTCTCATTTCTATATGGGAAAGTTGAGGCCCAGAAAAGTCAGGGGTTTGCTCTCCTAGCCTTAGACTCTTCATTCATTCATTCACCTAACAGACATTTATTAAAAGCCTGCTTTGTCCCAGATACTTGCTTTCTGGAAGCTTATAGTTTAATGGAGGGAGGCAGACAATAAACACAAAAATAAGTAAAATATGTCACGTCAGAGGGTGGTAAAAGCTATAGAGAAGTGTGACGACTGGAAAGGGCTCAGGGTTCTGGAGAAGCCATTGGCAAAGTGAATTTAAAAGGCCCTGGGCCTCTCCTATGGGGCTGCTGACCCTGCAGTCCATTGTGACAACGTCTGGAATTCTAGAGTGCAGGCCTAGGGGAGGGAGGAGGCCTGGAGAAGAAGGAGGGAGAAAGGGACTGTGGGATTTAGTGGGTGGGCTGCACCCCCCTGGGGGGCAGCAGAGCCCAATGGGTCAGAAGGGCCACAAAGACTCCCTTTACCCTTGTGGAGGGTAAGATCATTTATTCCTGAGGCCTCCTTGCACCCTGCGCTTGGCCCCTCCCCAAACTCCATCAGATCTCAGATGACATTCCCTTCTGCTCCCCCTCCTATCCTTGGGAACACCGAGAGGTGGGTCCAAATTGTCCCTTTGTCTCAGTACAGAGTGGCAGCCTGGAGGAGCTTGTGACAGGCACCCAAGGCTGGCCAGAGAGGCTGAGTAAGCCCCTGTGACCTTCTGTCCCAGATAGGAGAGGCTGGAGGGCCCTTGCGTCATGTCCTGCATTTCTTTCCCCAGGACTCCCGAGAGCAGCCTCCACGAGGCTCTGGACCAGTGCATGACCGCCCTGGACCTCTTCCTCACCAACCAGTTCTCAGAAGCACTCAGCTACCTCAAGCCCAGGTGAGGCTCAAGCCCCAGATGGGGCCGGGAGTGTGCGTGACATTCAGGGAGAACCAGAGGTCTTGTGTGAGAGAAACCCTTCTCAGTGGTCATGATGATCCAGGGCATTCTGGATCATCATGACCACTGAGAAGTCCCATAAAAATAGCTTAGGCTCCCCATCCCACAGCCTACGTGCAGCCAGGCCCTCTCCAAGGTCACTGTGACTTGCTTTTCCTTAGGCTCTTGAGGGTTCTTCACACTTCATTACTTTTCTGTTGGAATCCACTTGGAGTTTCTTCCTTGCCAGCTCTCACACGACCCCTTTGTTTATTTTCCCCCAAAGCGCTAGAGACTTTAGGTTGCCTGCTTTCCTGAGAGTTTTAGGGCAATAAAGAAGGCTGCTCACTTGGCTATTTCCTTGAGTGCTCACTGCCATGTTTCTGTCAATACAAATCAATAATGTGCATATATTCCGTTTTCTTTACTTAACCACTTTTTCTCAGTTTTAAAAATTGAGATATAATGCACATACCATAAAACTCACCCTTCCTTATCACTTTAAAACATCTGTTGGGCCGGGCATGGTGGCTCACACTTGTAATACTAGCACTTTGGGAGGCCTAGACAGGCAGATCACTTGAGGTCAGGAGTTCAAGACCAGCCTGACCAACAAGGCGAAACCCCAACTATACCACAAATATAAAAAATTAGCCAAGTTTGGTGGTGTGTGCCTGTAATTCCAGCTACTCAGGAGGCTGAGGAAGGGGAATTGTTTGAACCTGGGAGGCAGAGGTTGAAATGAGCCAAGATCGTGCCACTGTACTCCAGCCTGGACAACAAAGTAAGACTCTGTTTCAAAAAAACAAACAAACAAACAACAACAATAACAACAACAACAAAACCCATCTATTGATAGATGAGAATTTAGTTTTCTTACACCCCTGCCATATCTCCCTTCCCTCATCCTCCTCATGTCATTATATCACACTATTGGGGTAAATCAATAATCGGTGTTTAGCTGGTCATGGTAGCTTATGACTATAACCCCTGCACTTTGGGAGGCTGAGGCAGGTAGATTGCTTGAGCCCAGGAGTTTGAGACTAGCCTGGACAACATAGTGAAACCCATATCTACAAAAAAAAAAACCCACAAAAAATTAGCTGGGTGTCCCAGTATGCATCTATATTATCAGCTACTTGGGAGGATGAAGTGGGAGGATCACCTGAGCCCCGGAGGTTGAAGCTGCAGTGAGCTATGATCTTGTGCACCACCGCACTCCAGCCTGGGCAACAGAACAAGACCTTGCCTCAAAAAAAAAAAAAAAAAAAAAAAAAGGAAAAGGAAAAAAATAAAATAAATAATCAATGTTTACATAACCATACTTTTGTGATTAATGCTCATTGCAAAGGAAATCAATTTGAGACTGTTTCCTTCTAGAGTTAATAATTGTCTTGCTTTTCCCATTGGCCTAATTTGCTAAACATGTATCCTTAAGTTTTTATAACCACTCCATGAGATTATCTTATTGTGAGTTTTTCCCCAAATGCTGAAACCTATCAAGTAAGTGCTCAGTTCCCTCCTGCCCATTTTTCTGGAAACCTGTCCTCAGGAGGACAGACGTGTCTTCTGGCCCCTCCCTGCTGTGTCTTGGAGCTCCTTTGCTTATCTCCCATTTCTTTGATTCCAGGTCTTATCTCTTATGTCCCCCCTTGTTTGCCAGGGAATGTCCTATAGAAATTTCCTGGGCCAGGTGCGGTGGCTCACGCCTGTAATCCCAGCACTTTGAGAGGCCGAGGTGGGTGGATCACGAGGTCAAGACATCGAGACCATCCTGGTCAACATGGTGAAACCCAGTCTCTACTAAAAATACAAAAAATTAGCTGGGCATGGTGGCACATGCCTGTAATCCCAGTTACTCAGGAGGCTGAGGCAGGAGAATTGCTTGAACCCAGGAGGCAAAGGTTGCGGTGAGCCGAGATTGTGCCATTGCACTTCAGCCTGGGTAACAAGAGTGAAACTCTGTCTCAATTAAAAAAAAAAAAAAAAAGAAAAGAAATTTCCTAAGAAAGGCTGGGCACACTGGCTGATGCCTGTAATCCTAGCACTTTGGGAGACCGAGGCAGGTGGATGATTTGAGGTCAGGAGTTTGAGACCAGCTTGGCCAACATGGTGAAACTTTGTCTCTACTAAAAATACAAAAATTAGCTGGGCATGGTGGCAAGTGCTTTTAATCCCAGCTACTTGGGAAGCTGAGGCAGGAGGATTGCTTGAACCTGGGAGGCGGAGGTTCCAGTGAGCAGAGACCACTCCATTGCATTCCAGCCTGGGTGATAGAGTAAGACTGTCTGAAAAAAAAAAAAAAATTAAAAGAAAGACTTGCATAAATATAACTTTTTTCCCGAAGAACTTTGACTACCTGGCTTCAGTGTTCTGGCATTTACTGTAGCTGTGAGAACCCTAATTCTGCTCACTTCATATGTGATCTTTTCTCCTTCTCCAGAAAGGTTTAAGATTGGCTCTTGTAAACCTGGAATTTTACCGTGATGTGTGGCAATGAAGTCTTTTTTATTCTGGATTGCTATGTGGGCTCTCAGTTCTGGGAAATGCTCTTGTATGATGGTTCCATCTTGTTTCCCTTTCCTGGGCTTTCTTTAACTCACTTTTCCACCTCCTGGGTCAGTCCTCTTGTGAGCCTCTTCCTTCCCACGCTCCTTTTTCCCATTGCTTTTTTTTCCCCCTCTAATTTTTGGAAGATTTCCTCACCCTTCTCATTAATTCCTTCTGCTGACTTCTTTATCTCTGTAATCATATGATTAATTTCCTGGTATTCTTTATTCTCTGAATGTTCTTTTTCCCTGTAACATCTTCTTCTTGGTTTATGGTGCACTAACTTCTTTATATCTGTATTTGGAATATGAGGTCCTTAGGACAGAACCTGGCATGTATTAAGTATCTAATAAAGTATTTCTTATTATTATTGTCACAGAATATTCTCTCTTTTTTTTTTTTTTTTTTTTTTTTTTGAGACAGAGTCTTGCTCTGTTTCCAGGCGCCAGGCTGGAGTGCAGTGGCATGATCTCGGTTCACTGCAACCTCTGCCTCCTGGGTTCAAGCAATTCTCCTGCTTCAGCCTCCCAAGTAGCTGAGACTACAGGCATGCGCCACCACCCCCAGCTAATTTTTGTATTTTTTAGTAGAGTGGGGTTTTACCATGTTTGCCAGGATGGTCTTGATCTCCTGACCTCATGATCTGCCTGTCTGGGCCTCCCAAAGTTGGGATTATAGGCATGAGCCACTGCACTTGGCCATTATTTCTCTTTAAAATGTTTCATTCTTTTTCTGCATAATTTGGCCTTCTTAGTGTTCCTGCAGTCTGTTTAATGTGGGAAATCCTCTTCTCATGGGGTGCTTTCTTAAAAAACCTAACAATCCCCGGCTGTCTGTCTGGTCCTATTTAAGACTGAGCTCACAGGAAGGCCAGCTGGAAGGTCTGTGCCAAGCTGCCTTGTAGTTGGTAGGATTGGCTTTGGATGATCTGGCAGAGAACTGGCCCCCAGGTGTCAGCACCAGGATGGCTTGGCTTCTCCAGAGAGGAATCCTCTGTTCCTCAGCCTGGACAGAGAGCCCTGCAGCCTGAATTGTGAGACCGGGGGCTGGGGGGCTGGGGTCTAATCATTTCTGCCCCCTACTCTCCCTAGTCCCCCTCTTTTCAGCTCCAGCTTGTCCTCTGCACCTAAGCCCCAAGGAAAAGTGAATGCTGAGGCTGGGGGACTGGTTTCCACAAATCCCCAGGCCTGACATATTCAGTTTCTCTAGACCTGATGGACCCATCTTTCCCCCATCTAGAGTCAATGGCCCAGCTTCTGGGGTGGGGTGGGGGTTTCAGGGCATGATGATCACAACAAGTCCCTTGAGTGGCAGTCTCCACACCTCACTCCTACCCTCTGAGGGGACCTGGCTTGAGGGGGTCAGGCTGGGTGGGTCAGGGTCTGCAGCAAGAGCATGGCCATGGCCTGAGGAAGGCCCAGCTGCAGCCTGCTCTGTCTTGGAATGTCCAGGGTCCCCTCCCAGTTTTCTTGGAAGGCTCCTCAGCTCCTGCTTCTCCCCTGGTCATTTCCTGTCCCTCACTCAAGCCTGGACCCCAGACCATGGTCACCCTCTTGCACTGGAAACCAGCCGCCCAGGCCATAGCTGCTCAGCCTATCCTGCACCCCAAGCACAGACACCAGCATTTCTCCTCACCCACTGAAGCCCAGCTAAGACCAAACCATGCCTTGATCTACTCCAAACTGTCCTGCAGACTTGGGGCCAACAAAAGGGAGTCAAAACACAGGAGAAAATATTAAAACCAGAGGCTGTGGCTGCACCTGGGTCCTCGAGCTGTCCCTGCCACAGGGTGAAAGGGCTTTTCCCTCTGTGGCCCCTTCACCTCAGTAGGGCATTCTAACAGGAGTCATATAGCTCTCAGGACCTCCGAAGGAAACCCTCATCCTAAAAGAGACACCCAGGAATCCAGTCTTCCCATGGAGCCACCTGTTACCTCACATGGGAAGCAGTGTAGTTTCTTAGCACTTGCCTTATTCCAGAAAAGGATCCTTCCTTCCTTCCTTCCTTCCTTCCTTCCTTCCTTCCTTCCTTCCTTCCTTCCTTCCTTCCTTCTTTTTGTTTTTTTGTTTCTTTGTTTATTTTTGAGACAGAGTCTCACTCTGTTGCTCAGGCTGGAGTGCAGTGGCATGATCATGGCTCACTGCAACCTCTGCCTCCCACGTTCAAGCAATTCTCCTGCGTCAGCCACCCAAGTAGCTGGGATTACAGGTGTGTGTCACCAAGCCCAGCTAATTTTTTATATTTTTGGTAGAGAGAGGTTTTCACCATGTTGAGTAGGCTGGTCTCAAACTCCTGACCTCAGTTGATCCACCTGCCTCGGCCTCCCAAAGTGCTGAGATTACAGGCCTGAGCCACTGCGCCGGCCCTTTCTTTCATTTTGAATTTAACAGCATTTCTCCAAATTGTAGTATCAGTAGTACAATCCCCCTACACCACCTGTGACAACCCAAAATGTCTCCAGAAATTGCCACATGTCCTCATGTTGAGGGTGGGGATACTCTGCCACTCCCATTGAGAACCATGGGTCTAGAGAAAATAATTCTTGCTAGAAAACAGCCTCCCTTCCTCACCGATGGCCACCAAAGCTTCAGAAGATGTTGGGTCCAGTGTCATTCACTGTTCTTCACTGAACACACATTGTCTCATTTAATTGTCCTGGTCCCATGCAGTGGGGCATGGTGCTCCTCTTCAGCTCCAAATGGGCATCTGGCTTTCCAAGGTCCCTTCCCAGCCTCCCCTCTGTTTTCCATAAGTCACATTTGAGTAGCATTGTCTCTGTTTCTAGTGTATTTCACTTCGCACTGAGTCTGACTTGACGCACTGTCTCTGGGACATGGAGGCTACTGCTTTTGGTTTTCTTGAATTATATGATCATGGTTAATAAACGGCAGAGTGGGATTCACATCCAGGTCATTCAGCTGCACAGACCACACACCAACTGCTGTGTGCATGGTTCGGCCTCCCCCTTGGGTGGCGGCATTTACCTTGGGTGGGGCCTCACATCTGCCTCCCCCTACCACAAGGAGTGAAGGAGGTGGAAAGGGTGTACTGGGGGCGGGGCGGGGGCGGGGCTTCAATGAGTTCAGGGTATATCCTTGAGTGTTCTGGAGTTTCTCTGAGGGAAAAGGCAAGGTCACCTGCCAAGAGCAAGGGGCCAGGTGATGCTGCAGTGATAACAAGGAGAGGGGAAAAGGTGTTTCTGGGCAGGATGCTGGGCCTGGCAGAGGCTGGGGCCCCAGCCCAGCATGTATCTGCCTGTGTAGGGGGCGGCTTTCTCTGGCATTACTCAGTGGCAGTGTGGAGAAAGTAGACAGTTGCATGGCTCCTGAGCTGGGCTCCTAGATGGGTTCAGCAGAAGGTTGGCAGGCTTGGCACTGAGTATGCTGACAAGAGAGAGACTGGTATGAGGATACGAGGCTAAGTGGTCAGGAAGAGGAGACAGGCTGGAGGAGGGAGGATGGGGCAGCAGGAGTGATGAGCCAGTATGGACAGGTAGGGAGGCTGTGGCTGGGAGGGTTGTGGCATCTTTTAAGACTCCAGAAGCAGAGCCATTCTGTGATGAAAACAAGGTCACGCTGTGACTCAAAGGATGGGGTGGTTGGGCAGCTGTCACTGGTTCATTCAGCAACAGCCTGTGAGAATCCTCCTGGCCCAGCAGTGTGCTGGGTGCTGGGGCTCCCGACTGAGCAAGACGTGGGCTGTTCTCAGGGTTCAGCAGGGAGGTGGTGAAACAAGCAGTAAGGGGTGCCAAGAGCTACACAGGGACCCCACTTCATGTGGGAAAGGGGCTGGTCAGGAGACTGCATCGTTCCTGGGGCTCATTGCTACATAAAATTGGGGGTCATTTGTTCAAATATTATCAAGAATTTAAAGACAGTGACATCAGAGAATTAAACCAAGCATGGGCCTTTTTTAGGCACAGGCCCTGTGCAACGGCATGGATCACATACCTGTGAAGCGGCCCTGGAAGGCTTCCTGGAAAAAGTGACAGTTACACTGAGATGGACTGGATGAGGAGGAGTCAGCCAGATGGAGGGGGTATTTCCAGATGAGGAAACAGCCTGTGCAAGGGCTGGGCAGTGAATGAGGGTCTGGGAGGAGCTGAGGCAGGTGCCAGAAGGAAGAGGGCAGGGTGATGGATAGCGGACTGGGGGAGGGGAGTCCACAAAAGCAGCTTGGGCTGGAGAGGAAGGCAATGAAGTGGGGTCTGAAAGGACCAGAAAGGGGAGTAGAGGGAGCTTCAGTGAGCATGAAGGGGCAGAGATCTGGAGAGGCCAAGGGACTGCCTCTGCCTTCTAGTGCCCTCCCCATCTTGACAGCTAGTCTGGGCCCAAGAAGGTGGGACCCCAGTAGACATGTCCCAGAGTAAGGGGACAGCTCAGGAGTGAGGGGAGTATTGTTCCTAGCATCCTGGATGACATGTATGCAAATAAGAACCTGTGGGGTACAAGCTAAACTTGGGGTACCTGAAGTTTGAGAGTTGTCACCTCTGTACCCCATTTCCCAGTTCAGACTAGAGTTGGGGGCTTCCAGGTGATAGACTGGGGAGAGGCTAGTATTGTTACCCATAGGTGCCTGTTGGGGAACTCAGACTAGAAATTCCACTTTGTCTGCCAGCTGACCGGGTGGGGCTGTCCCTCTTCTGGGCCCAGCACCAGACAAGGTTCCACAGGCGGGGCTGGGCAGGTGGTGCTGAGTCCCAGGCCTCAGACCTGCAGTGGGAGAGGAAGGGAGAGGCAAGGGCTTGAGAGATGGAGAGGCCCAGGGGCTGGGGGTGTCATCTGGGGGATGGGTCTGTGTGCTGCCAGGGAAGCCCCTCCTCAAGAAGGTTTTTATGCAGAGAAGTGATGCAGGACACCGAGGGACTCACATTTACCCAGCACTGGTGCAGCGGCCCCTGACCTGGGTATTCTATTTAAGCCACGAAAAAAACCACGGGGGAGAAGAGTTACAGTTTTCCCTCTGCAGGGAGAAACTTGAGGATCAGTGAGGTTATAAGACAGGAGACGTGCCAGGTCACACAGCTGGTAGCTGGCTAAGCCAACTCCAACCTGTGTCTGAGGGGCTCTGAAGCCTGGTTCTGGCCCCCACTCTTAGCAGCCCACTCTTTTCCACAAGCCACTGCCTGCAGATGAAGCAGCCCTGGCAAAGGCCTGGGAGCATCCAGAGAGTGCCCCGGCTGCCAGGAGCAGCCTTTGTTTCCTTCCTTTGACCCTCAGGGATCACAGGAGCATCACCCAGAAGCAGCTTTATTTACGAGTGTTTTATGAACAGAAAAAGCAGGAAAAGGGGTAAAGTCACATGATTTTACAACCAAACAGCCTGTAAACCTTAGTCATCTCTCTCTCCTGTGAAGTTCCCAGCATACACCTGGCACTGAGGAGCTTCGTAAATAATTCACAAGGAGATCTGGGGAAGGGAGTAAAGGCTCTCTGTCAGTCCCACAGCCCACAGGGATCCGGGCAGGCTGGCATTATCATTCCCATTTTGCAGAAGCAGAAATCTAGGCCCAGACACATTAAGTGACTCCCCTCACGTACAGAGAGGACTTGGCGTTGTTCCCATTCCTCCTTGACTGTTGCCCTCTCCATGTGATAGACTAAATGCTACCCCCTGCCCACAACACACCTTTCAGCTGGGGAGCCTGGAGTGGTGGAGGAGCTGGGAGGATGGAGGCTCCTGAATCCACCTTGGCTCAGCCCTGACATTGGTGCTGAGGACAGAGGTGAGTCACACACAAGCTCTGTCCTTGAGAGGCTCACAGTCAGGGGAGAGCTGAGCCTGTGCTGATGTCAGTTCAGCGTGGCCCATGCCTCAGTTACAGATGGAGTTCCTGAGGAGGGGGCCTGGATTCCCAGTGGCCTGGGAGGCATTTGAGGGCTTTGACAGATATGTCAGGAGATATAGAGGAAGGGCATTTATTTCTTTAAAAAAAAGAAAATTATTATTCTTAGAGATAGGGTCTCACTATGTTACTCAGGCTGGTCTCAAACTCCTGGGCTCAGTCCTCCCTCCTTGACCTCCTAGAGTTCTGGGATTACAGGTGTGTGCCACCACACTCGGCCAAGGAAGGGCATTTCAATCTGAGGGAACAGCCTGGGCAAAGGCCCGGAGGAGGGAAATATGGGATTTTCTCATGGAAGGTCTGTGTGGTTCAGGGTGGCTGGGGGTGCAATCTTGAATGTGACCAGATGGGGGTGGGTGGGGAGCAGAAGCATCAAGAGGGCTGGAGAGGTAGGCAGGGCTGTCGTCTTGTGGAGCGTCAGCCCTGGCAGGATCTCCTAGGATGTGGAAGCCATGGGAAGGTAATCATGGTGTAACCATCGGGCACCATGATCAGATGAGGGGAGGGAGTAGGAGGAGGCAACAGGTGGCCAGTCAGGAAGTCTAGGGAGTGGGCTCGAGGGCAGCCCAGGGCTGGGGTTTGGGCGAAACAGATCTCACAGACAGGACTTGGGCTCAGCCTGCAGGAGGCGGGGGCAGAAGGCAAGGGGGTGGCACTGGGTGCAGGGAAAGGCCATCTTGGGCCAACACGCACTAAACCCTTTCTCAATGCACATGGCAACCATTCTACTACCACCCCTACCAAGCCGATGAGGAACTGAGGCTCAAACCTGGTAGGTCACTTAGGGCCACTCAGCAGGAAGAAGGCAAGCTGGAAACAGAATCCCAGGTCTTTTGAGTAGCAGTGAGAGGATCAGACCTGGCCAAGGCCCTCCCCATGCCTGGACCTCGGGTCCCCCCGCCTCACTGCTGAATGGGGGAGGGTAGAGTTGAACTGCCCAGGCCCAGCTGCCTCTGGGGCTCTGCAAGGTGGTGCTCTCAATGTCCCTTCTCTTTGGCAGAACCAAGGAGAGCATGTACCACTCACTGACGTATGCCACCATCCTGGAGATGCAGGCCATGATGACCTTTGACCCTCAGGACATCCTGCTCGCCGGCAACATGATGAAGGAGGCACAGTTGCTGTGTCAGAGGTTGGGGACACTGGGGGCAGGGACGAGAGGTTGGGAGGCCCACCCTTCTGTCACCCTGGCCCATTCGCACTGCTGCTTTTGGCTATGAGGTTGTGTCCCCAGGTACTAAGAGCCATCCCTGTCAGCCCTGCCTCAGAAGCTATCTTGTCCAAGCCAGTCACTGGGCAGCTTTTAGGGACCAGGGTGACAGGATAGAGGAGGAGGCAGCAAGACCTGGGTGGGCAGGAGGGTAGGCCAGGCTGGGCACCAAGAGACATTAAGGAGAGGAACCCAAAGGTGGGACAGGTTGGGAGCTGCCAGGAGCAGCATCACCTGGGCTGGGGCGGTTGGCCAGGACTGCTGTATAGACTCAGCCCCAGGACTGATCAGATGGTAACTGTCCTCATTTTACCAGTGAAGACACAGCCTTAGAGAATTTAAGTGATTTTTTTTGCCAGAATATCAAACCTTTGCTGCCTGACCCCAAAGCCTGTGTTCTTTCTGTTAGCTCTGCCTCTCTAGGAATTTTCTAGAGTATAGTAGAGAGGGGCAGAGGCAAGTGTGGCCTCTCTCTCATCCTCACCTGGGGCCCCTCTTTTTCTTCCGCAGGCACCGGAGGAAGTCTTCAGTAACAGACTCCTTCAGCAGCCTGGTGCACCGCCCCACGCTGGGCCAGTTCACTGAAGGTGCGGCGTCCAGGCTCTCAGCCATGCTAGGCCCAGGTGGCCAGCTCCAGGCCCAGGAAGGGGCAGTCATCCTCCCTGTCATCACCTAGGGGGTCAGGCCCTGGTGTCCATGCCAGGACACACATGGGTCAGACCTGGGGCCTTTTGAGGCGTGGCTCTCTGGTGAGGGTGCGGGGGGCAGGTGAGACCCACTTATGTGATGGTACTACTGGCTGAGAACCTGCAGGTCAAGAAAAGGGAAAGCTGTCACAAGGCCAGGGCTCTGCTCCTCAGGCCAACAGGTGTTTAGAATTGTTTGTGCAGTTAAGTTTACTGATTTAATTATCCTAGTGATCGCATAGGCCCCAGAGGGGAATGTGGTTTTAGCAGCTGAGTCACTGGGACAAGATGCTGTCCATAGGAGAGGAGTTGGTGTGGGCTGTCATGGTCCATTCAGGTCTTTGTGCCATGACCACATGCGGCTGTCCTGGAGGCAGCAGTGGCTGACCACAAGCAATTAGGGGCTCTGCAGCATAGGGGAAAGTGGCCTTACCCTCCTCAAGAGCCCTGGAAGGTTCCAGTACCCCAGAATACATCTGATGTTGCTGGGTACACAACACCTGCAGTGGTGATTGGGGAGCAAGAGAGCAAGACTAGGGCGACCTTCCGGGGGAGGGGTGTGAGCTAGCTTCTGGGGACAGTGACGAGTGCTCTGAAGCACTGCGTGACAAGGTAGGGGATAGGAGAGGTGCTAACATAGGTTCCCTTTGCTTTTGGGAAAGTAGGGGTATGACGATTTGTCCCAGGCCTCCTGCCTAGAGTCCCAGGAGGCCACGGGGCTTTGGTTTTCTCCCCACAGAGGAAATCCATGCTGAGGTCTGCTATGCAGAGTGCCTGCTGCAGCGAGCAGCCCTGACCTTCCTGCAGGTAGGGACCTCCGCTTGTACAAGGAGGCTGGGATTTCAGAAGATCAGTTTCCATGTCCAACCACAACCCATCCCCTAGAGCAACCGTGACCCCTCCCCTAGCAGTCATGACCCATCCTTCACACGCCTGCCCCTGGGCACATGCACTCCCACCATTACCAGGATGCTGTTTGCACTGTGTGACTGCTGCATTTCCTGTTAAGGGTCACATGGGGGTGATAGGCATTGTTTCAAAGTCTGCTTTCCATTTGATCATTCAGCAAGCACTGTAGCACCTATGATGTATCAGACTTTTTGCACACAGTACAGGTAGGTAGTTTTTCCATACCTTACACACATTATAGTTTGTTTTTACTAACATTTACATTTGTTATTTAATCTTCACCACAGAGGCCTGTGAACGGGAGACTTAGAAGAGAGGGGTCACTTTCCCAAGGCCACATGATTAGCAAATGATAAGCAGGGAACCTAGGTCTGACGAAGTTGGTGCCCAAGTCTCCTCATCACACAGTGAGAATTATGAGAATGATCACTTCCTGGTTTTGCCTGAAAGCCTGGGTTATAATGAGAACATATCATCATCATTATATACGTGTATTTAGCAGGAGAGGGACATACACATTTCAGTGTTGGGGTGCTGGTTAAATGCATTTTAGTGTTGGGGTGCTATGAAATTAACCTCAGGAGATTAGGATTGAATTAATGCTGATCCTTGCCTTAGGATTCACTGTAATGACTGCACCATGAATGACATTTTGATTTGTTTGCTTATTATATTTTTACAAATAAGGAAACTCCCCCAACACTGCACCCGCCTGGAGGACAGAACACGCAATAACTCTCCTCACCCTGGGGGTTCCTTCTCACCTGTCCATGCACCCAACAGGGGAATCACTACTTAGAGTATTATGTTTATTGGTCCCTACCCTATTATTTTTTTTTTTTTTGAGGCAAAGTCTCACTCTGTCACCCAGGCTGGAGTGCTATAGCAGGATGTCTGTACAGTGGCACGATCTCAGCTCACTGTAACCTCCACCTCCTGGGTTCAAGTGATTCTCCTGCCTCAGCCTCCCAAGTAGCTGGGATTACAGGCGCATGCCACCATGCCAGGCTAATTTTTATATTTTTAGTAGAGATAGCATTTCACCATGTTGGCCAGGCTGGTCTCAATCTCCTAACCTCAAGTGCGCCCACCTCGGCCCTACCCTATTTTTTAAAAATAGCTTTCTCCACTTCGTCCTCCTGTCTGAACAGCATATTGTGATGTTTCCATTGTGTTGAGCTTCCTAAGCGGTGCGGGGCTTGCTGTCTTCATCCAGCCTTATATGACTGTGTGTTATTTCCTTGTGTGACCAAACCGCAGTCTGTTTATCTGTCCTCCTGCTGGTGGGCATTTGGGCTGTTTTTGGTTCTTGGCTATCATGAACAATGGTGCTATGAACATTCCCGAAGGTGACTGAGTTTCACAATCCTTGACCATTGGTTTTCGTTGGGTGTACACAGTGAATGGCAGGCTGTAGGCAATGGAGCTTTAAATTTATAAATGTGGTAAATACCTGCTTGTTGTAAAAACAACAAACAATCTAAAAACAAGCATCCCCCTCCTTTCTCACAGTCCCTCCACCTAGAGGGAGACACTGTTAACCACTGGGCGCTGCCCCTCCAGGCCTCTCTCTGAGCACATAGTAGGTACACATGGAAGGCTGGTCCAGCCCTGAGCATTTTAGAGGTTTTTGTTAGGCCAAGGAGCAGGGAGGCCTGGTTTGGCTGACCTCTGACCTCATCCCCCCAGGTTTCCTCACAGGGAGGAGTAGTCAGGCCCAGAGCCTTGCAGGATCCCTCTCACGCCTACAGGTGCCCACTTGGGCCAGGCTGTCAGCATCTTTTCCTCCTGCAGGACGAGAACATGGTGAGCTTCATCAAGGGCGGCATCAAAGTTCGAAACAGCTACCAGACCTACAAGTGAGTGGGGCTGGCCATCCATGTGTGGGGCGGCCCCAGGCCACGGCATCTGTACACTGCCCACCTTGAGTGGCTTTGTGGGAAGAGAAGAGTACTAACCGAGGCTGGAACCTAGACTGCTGACGCCAGCAGGTTTCTGTGCCCTCAGCACCTCGGTCTCCTGGAGTAATATTCCCCTGGCTTTCTGGCTGTGTCTCTTTCCTTTGGTCCCTTGAGTGCCTGCTCTGTGCCGGACCCTCTGCTGGGGAAAATAGGACACAGATTCTGCATAGGGTGGTCTGGTGAGGGCAGGGAGACAGCTACAAGAACAGCTGTTTTGGGAACAGCAGCAGAACTCCTACACATCTGTTAAGACCCAGTCCAAATGCCACTTTCCCCGTGAAGCCTTCTTTGACCCCTCTAGTACACAGGAAAAGTATACGTATACACACACATACACAAATGCATGCATGTATGTAGGTGCTCTCTGCATGCCAAAATAATTTCCATGCTCTTTCTGGATCCCTGACATTCAAACTGGGCCAGGCACAGGCCGAGTTTATGAATTAAGATTTAGTACAGAGCATTTGTATCCAATATGGCTTCATAATCCCTTATATATGGTTCCTACAGCAAAAAAAATCTCACCAAGTCTTACCTTAAAACAGGTCTCCCCTCACCAAGTTTTACCTTAAAACTTAATTCTATTAAAAGTTTATTTGAGGCCAGGCATGGTGGCTCAAACCTGTAATCTCAGCACTTTGGGAGGCTGAAGCTGGCGGATCACTTGAGGTCAGGAGTTCGAGACCAGCCTGGCCAGCACAGTGAAACCCTGTCTCTACAAAAATGCAAAAATTAGCTGGGCATGGTGGTGCATGCCTGTAATCCCAGCTACTCAGGAGGCTAAGGCAGGAGAATTGCTTGAACCCAGGAGGCAGAGGTTGCATTGAGTCCAGATTGCTTTCCAGCCTGGGTGACAGAGTAAGAATCTGTCTCAAAAAAAAGGAAAGTTGATTTGAGACTATTTATCATCTTTATCTTCCCCATTGAATGTGGCTGCTTCCCTGCAGGGATATCGTGAGCTTGTTACAAGATATTCCTAGGGTATAACGTACAATATAGCATGTGGACATCATGTTACCTTGGGGGACCCTATGCTAGAATTTTTCAAGAAAAAACAGACAAGGGCTCTGGCCCCTTCAGTCTCCCTACCAGCTGCCAGAATAATGCTGCCAAAACACACACCTTGTCAGGTCACCCCTTGCCAACTCCCAAGGCTCCTCTTGCTCTTAGAAAGAAGTCCTGGGTCATTGCCGAGTCCTTCCTGGGAGCTCACTCCTGCCCTTCTTGCCACATCTCCCACCTCACTCTGCTTTAGACCCCTGGGCCTTCCCCTAGTTCTTCAAATGTGCCAAAGTAGTTCCTACCTCAGGGCCTATGGACATGCTATTCCCTCTGTCAGAAACACTTTCTGCACTGGGCTTTCTGCACCACATTTCAGTTCAAATGTCACCTCCTCAGGGAAGGCTTCCCTATTCCCACACGAGGTCAGGCCCAAGGATTCTCCTTGGACCCTCTTATAACCCTCATAGTGACTCCATGGGGGGGTCTGTCACTTAAAATGGGAATGCTGTGGGGGTGATGGCTTGGTGGCTTTGGTCCCTGCTGTTTTCCAGTGCCTGGCACCGGAGAAGCCCCAAGCTTGCTAATTGAAAGCCCCCAAAATGCTATCAGCCCAGGAAGGAGGCAGACACATCATTAAAGCCTCTGTCCTGCCCCAAGTGGCTTTGCTGGGCTCTGTGCAGTTGGTAACCAGGAGAAAGAGACTTGTTTCAACCAGGAGATTCCAGGAAGACTTCCTAAAGGAGGAGGTGTTTGGGTTAGCCCAGTGGTTTTCAGATAGGAGTGACTTCCTCCCATGAGACATTTGGTAGTGTCTGGAGACATTCTGATTGTCCAGCTGGGGAGAGGATGCTACTGGCATCTGGTGGTCAGAGGCCAGGGATGCTGCTAAACATCCTATGATGCACAGGACAGCTCCCCTGCGGCCCCTCCCAGCAGAGAATCATCCAGCCCAACATGTCAGCAGTGTGGAGGCTGAGAAAGCCTGTTCTAGACAGGACCTGGAGTATGAACAAATGCCTAGAAGTTGGCCATGCAGAGTACGCCAGGGCCAATGTGGCTGAAATCAGGGGTGAGGAGTGTTAGCATGGTGGGGGAGATGGGGTTCAAAATTCCTCACACTATCAGCTTTCAGAATCACCAGAACTGTATGAATCCAACACTAGGGAGTTTACCTCAGGCCCAGCCCCTACCCCGACCCCCAGCAGTGGCTGAAACGGCACTTGGCATCTCTCTGCAGGGAGCTGGACAGCCTTGTCCAGTCCTCACAATACTGCAAGGGCGAGAACCACCGGCACTTTGAAGGAGGAGTGAAGCTGGGTGTGGGGGCCTTCAACCTGGTGAGTGGGAGTGCCCCTCCCCCATTTCCACAGTGCCTGGCTTAAGCTGTCTCCCCTTCTGTCCCTGACTCAGGTGTGGTCAATGCCTACTGTCCCTGCACCTGGCTGTGTGCCAGGCACCAGGATCCAGAGGTGATCAGACGTGTGGCCAGGCTTCAGGGGCTCACAGCCAGGGTGGGGGTGGGGTGGGCACTGGAGCCAGCTCCAGAGAGTCCATCGGTCCATTTCTTCCCAAGTCAGGCCAGTAGCTTGAAATCCACCCTAGTGGAGCCTTCGCAGCACCTGACCTTGGCACACACAATAAATCAGGGCTTTCTCTGCCCTGGAGAGCTGCTGGTTAACATTTACCAATGGCAGGGAAGGAGACAGTCCTGAAATGAGCTGATGACTTAGAGGGGCCAGAGAACCAAGGCTTCCTCCTGGAAGTCGGGGAAGGTTTCCCACGGGAGAGGGCAAGCATCTGTGCTGGCCTCTGAGGGATCTCTAGGAGTTTCCCAGCTGGGGAGGGGCTTCCAGCCAGAGGGAGCAGGAAGACTGGGAAAACTGCGCCAGATCAAGGGAGGAGGAGCTTCCCAGGGAAGATTTAGCCTCAGGGCCCTAGGTGGCCAGGGGCCTTTCCAAAGGTGGGGGGGTGGCCCTCTCTCCTCCAGGTAAAGCCTGTTGAAGAGCAAGCCGTGGGACTGTGGGGGTGGCCCCTGCCTCCTCTGGGGTACTTTCACATGCTTGACTGCCTCCCTTCTTGCAGACACTGTCCATGCTTCCTACTAGGATCCTGAGGCTGCTGGAGTTTGTGGGGTTTTCAGGAAACAAGGTAACCACCTGCCTTCTAGCACCCGTGACCTGCTCAGCCCCAGAAGTGGGGCTGGGCTGGACAAGGGTGGGGCTGATAGGCTGCAGGGCCTAGGTGCCCATCCTGGCTCATCCCCTCTCATTGTGTGTCCCTGGACAAAGCCCAGAACTCCCTGGGCCTCAGTCTTCTCTTTGGGCGAATGGGGCTGGTGATCCCTACCTCACCCTCCCAGGGTGCAGAGGCTCCGGGTGGGGATGGGTGTGAATGGCAGGTCCATGCAGTGACCCAGGATCACACATTCTCTGAGCCTGACAGGTGTCAGGGGCTGGTCCCTCTCCCCTCAGATACTGCAAATCCTTCCTCCAAGGACCATTTTCTGGTGCTATCACTTGATCCAGCAGATGTCCGAGGGAAGCCCTACTGGGCATCAAACCTTGAGGAGGAACCAGAGCACTCAAGCACCCAGAGGCTTTACTGGGGCAAGAACCTGAGTACCAGCCCCAGGTTGAAGGCAGCAGATCAGGGAGGGCTTCCTGGCAGAGGAGGCCTGGTGTGGTAGAAGGAGCACCGGCCTGGAAGTTAGAAGCTCTGGGCCAGTCCAGCTTCATCCCCTTTTCTCTGTGACTCTGAGCAAGTCCCTCCTAACTAAGAAAAGTTCATTCCCTTTTCTCTGAGCCTCTTTTTAGTAAAATAAGGGCATTTTTATGGACCAGATAAGTGTTTCTCAGACGTGCACTGGCCCTTCCTGATATTTGCCACACCTACAGACCTCTCTATTATAATTTATATATTTTCTCAAGTGACTCATAACTTTTACTGAAATTGATTTAAAGGAAACATCTCTATAGAAACCTCCATATTCTTTGGCATGATAAGACCATAATCATAAAAATAAATTCCACTGAGGGCCCAGCTGTCTTTTGCAAGCCCAGCTACTGTGTGGCTGGCCCGGGCTCAGGCAGGGCTGCCTCTTTCTGAGAAAGCGGGCTTAGGGTGAGAGAGTCTGCACCCCACGAGCAAAGGACTGGGCTTTCTCCTGGCCACCATCAAAGGATAGAAAGAGAACTGAGAAGGGAAAACCTTCACTGTGACTCAGTGTTTCCTGGCACCTGCCCATGGAGCCCTAAAATCTTAGCTGCCATCTGCTGCCCGAGGCTTGGAAAAGATTGGCTAGAGGCTGTGAAGGTCACTTCCAGTTTTTCTTCTTAGGAAAGCCTGTGGGTCATGAGTAGGATTTCAGGATGATGAAGGGAGGGCCCAGAGGTGAGACCGTGTGGCCTGGCCAGGCGGGTTGGGGGATCTACTCTGCCAGCCTGGGCTTCATCTTTATCTTGAAGGCAGGGGAGCCCATAGAAGGTTTGATGCAGGAGTGCGGCAGGTCAGATTTGTGTTTTAGAAAGAGCAAGAATGCTCTGTAGGACGGACAGAGGGACAGAGACTGCGGGCAAGGAAACAAGGCAGGGTCTACCCCCAGCCCCTCCCCAGCCAGGCTCTGGAGTCTTCTCCCACAGGAAGCTTTCCCACGGCCCCACCTGAGCCAGTGGCTGGGATCATCTGCCTTCCTGTCTCCTGCTCCCAACCAGACCTGGGCTGCTGGGCCCTCGGGACCCATTGCAGGGCACCCACGACTACAAGGAGGGTGGGGAAGAGGCTGTGGAGAAAGCGGGGGACACCTGAGACCCATCAAGCCTTTTTCCTGGCCTTGGCAGTCGTGGCCCCTTCCCCCAGGAATGCACTGGGGCACTGAGGGGCAGCCCCTTGCTCGGGCACACAGCTGACCTGGCCTCCAGGGTTCTGGTGCTCTCCCACCCCTGTGCTGGCAGCATTGTCTTCGTGGCTGGCCAACCACCTCCCAGCCCCCTGCCCTCTCTGGGAGCCTCACCCACCCTTCCGTCCACCCAGGACTATGGGCTGCTGCAGCTGGAGGAAGGTGCGTCGGGCCACAGCTTCCGCGCCGTGCTGTGTGTCATGCTCCTGCTGTGCTACCACACCTTCCTCACCTTTGTGCTCGGTAGGTACTCCTGCACAGGGGGACCTGGGGCCCTGGGGTTTGGTCATCTCCAAGGGCAAAGGGGCAGGAGAGTCAGGGGCTGCAGACCCTGCTCACAACCCTGGGGCTGGAGATAGGGGTGCTGAAACCAGAAACACAGAGCCACATCAAATGTCCCTGGGACTGGCCTGCTGATGCCCACTGCCTCACAGTGTGACAGGGTTCCAGCCTCAGTTTTCTCATCTGTGAAATGGGGGTGGTTGTGCCCTCCTTGTGGAGGGTGTGAAGACGCAGTGTACAGCGTCTCATGGTTCTGGTCACAGCCTTGGTGGGCGCGGGCTCCTGGTTGTCGAGCTCTGTGAAGTGCTGGGGACAATATCTGCACTGCCTTACTTAACCCTCATGTCACCCTAGGGACAGGGAAATTATCACCCCATTTCACAGAGGGAAATGGGGAGACCCTGGGAAGCCCCTGCTGGGTTGCTGGCAGGATGACAAGAGCCAGGGGTGGTAACACGTTCTATGTCTCCCCTCCCACCACCACCTCCAGGTACCGGGAATGTCAACATCGAGGAGGCTGAGAAGCTTTTGAAGCCCTACCTGAATCGGTACCCTAAGGTGAGCCCCACACACTGTCCGGTACCCCCAGCCCACAAACACCCACTGACGCACACAGACCCACATGTGTGTCATTGCAGGGCGCCATCTTCCTGTTCTTTTCCGGGCGGATTGAAGTCATTAAAGGCAACATTGACGCAGTGAGTGATGGGGGTCCAGGCCGGGGCTAGGCATCCCTTGGGGTCTTCCAGGCCAGCAATAAGTCAGGCACACATGACATAGTCAGACACAGGACAGACTGAAAGGGGATCCCCAAGAGAGAACCAACCAGAGAGCAGGGGTGGGAGAGGCCCTTCTGACAGAGCAGCCTGGGAAGACAAGGGAGAAGGAGGCATCTGTGGTGAGGGGGAGATAGAGGACTGCAGCATTCCCATGGAGGGAGGCGCTGGAAGGAGGCTGGGGTGGGAAAGCCCACCTGTTCAGGGCGTGGTGGTTACGCTGGAGTCTGCTATCTCCCCTCCATTACAGTTCTGTCCTGCTCTTTTATTTTGTTACTAAAAACCAGAGTTCCAGACAGGGACTGTATTTGGGCCCAAGGTCATATAAGACTTAGGAGGTAGAACCAGGACTAGAGGCCAGATCTCCTGGCTCCTCAGCCCCTGCCTATGCCTAGCACAGGGCTGGACCACCATGCCCTGGAGGAGGCCCAGTTGACTGTGGTGGCTGCGGTGTTGGGAGGTGCGGAGGATGCAGAGGGTAGGGTGGGGTGGGGCTGGGTGGGCACCCATCAGGCTGACCAGCAGGTGCCCACAGGCCATCCGGCGTTTTGAGGAGTGCTGTGAGGCCCAGCAGCACTGGAAGCAGTTCCACCACATGTGCTACTGGGAGCTGATGTGGTGCTTCACCTACAAGGGCCAGTGGAAGATGTCCTACTTCTACACTGACCTGCTCAGCAAGGAGAACTGCTGGTCCAAGGTGGGCTGATGCCACGTGTTAGGGGCATTGGGTGACCAAGGCTGACTGGGCGCCTCCGGCCCATGGGCCAAATCCCTGACTGAACACAGATGTCTCAGCTGGAATCTAAATATAACCATAAATTCTAATAGGACTCAGGGTTGGAAGGAACTAAAGACCACAAGAGAAACTTCTGAACCACAATGTGTCCGTTGAGATTTCTAGTCACACAGGACAGAAACATGGCTCCCTCTGTCTCTATGGTAGAAATGTTCTACTTCTGCACTGCCCAGATATGGTAGTCACCAGCCACATGTACACACTGACCATGTGAAATGTGCCTAGTGCAATTGGGAAACTGGATGTTTTAAGTTTTATTTAATTTTAATTAATTAAATGTTAAATTTAAATAGCCATGTGGGGCTTGTGGCCACCATGTTGGACTATGCAGGTCTAAAACCCAAAAGGCTCATATTACTGAAAATTCTTGGCACATGTGACTTCAGGTAGGGCTGGATCCAGGAATTCAAATTATGTCATCTGGCTTGGTCTTTCCATCTGTGGCTGTGCTGTTTTCTATGACATCTTTTTGCAGTAAGATTCTCTCCATGTGACAGGCAAGGTGGCCACGGGCTGTTCTACTCACATCCTCCCCTTGGTTTCAACCAGAGTCCCACAGTTGAGCCTCACTGGTCTGACTTAAATCACATGGCAATGCCTGGAACAGAGGGGTGAGAAGATTCCTCATGGGCTGAGAGTAGGAGAGGGGTGGTTCCACAGAAGGAAATGTACCCAGAAATAGTGGAGGGAGGGGATTAACGAGATAGCATGTGGGCAGAACAAAACCAAACAGATGCCTGCCCACCAAAGATGAAATTTACCAACGTAAGAATGAAATAACTATTAGCTTGTGCCATCACAGTAATAATAGTGTGAAATTGGAACCAAGTCTTAGAACCATCTAGCTCAGCAAGCGTCTGATCCATTATTTGTAAGTACACAATACATGTGTCTTCATGGCATTCCCCATAGCAGACATTGCTAATCAATCCTCTGCCATGAGCCTGGCTGTGACCTTAGATGCCTTCCCTCAAAGCTCTAGGCAGCCATTAGAATGGAGCCATACTGGCACCTGTTAGGAGACCTGTCATCTGCATCTGGTCCCTCCCCCTCCTCTACCTGGAGGTCTCTTTTCAGTAGCCCTTCCTGGGGACGACCTGAAGGAGAATTCTCTGGGTTTGGAGTAAGTGGGGCTGAGGGAGGGAGCAGGCTTCTTCTGAGCTCTCACTGTGTGTCTGGCACCCGTCATGTCCTCCACACCACACCCAGTGAGGAGCAGTTATCTGCATTGGGCACATGAGGGCCACTGAGGCTAAGAGAGGACCGTGACTTTCCTGCTGACGTGGCTGTTGGTGACAGACACTGGATTTGAGGACAGTCCTGTGTGACTCAGAGGCCTCTGCTTCTCCTTTGCTCCTGGAGTCCTCCCGAGGAGGCGGGGCCTGCCCTCAGCCTACCCTGCTGTTGGTGCTTCCTCAGGCCTAGCTTCCATGGCCTCCGCATCCCCTCCTCATTACCTCCCACTCCCAAAAAGAACAAAGCCTCAGGGAACCTTTTTTCTTTTTTTAGAGACAGGGTCTTGCTATGTTGGTCAGGCTGGTCTTGAACTCCTGGGCCCAAGCAATCTTCCCGCCTCTGCTTCCTAAAGTGCTGGGATTCTGGGCCTTGGGAAACCTTTTTTTAACTGAAAGTGACTCTCAGTCTTCCTGTAGAGTGAGGTTGGGCAGCTGGGTCTAACCTCATGGGGAAGGGGAGACCTTGACGGGGCACACATCTGCTGTGAGGAACAGAAGGCGGGCCAGGCCACTCAGCTGTCAGGAAGTCTGGCTCAGTCCCCCACCTGCTGTGTGACTTTGGGGTGGCCAACTCTCTCTGTAATACTCTGCTCACAAGGACTTCCTGTGAAAAGTTGGGGTTGTAACACTCTGAGTTCTGGGGCCCCACCCATTCCTAATCTCCAAAACTTGGCCACCACAGAGTCCACCAACTTCCAGTCCTGGGGCCTGGGCTTCTGGCCATTGCCAGAGGAAACAAGGCGGTGACAGTGGGTGCTCAGGGCTGGGGTGGGGGAACCCCAATGAGCTAAAGGCAGTCCTGGGCAACCCAAGAGGACAGGAAGGCTTCTGAGGAGAGACCTCTGCGGTGGGTCGAGGAGAGGAAGGACTTAGGGAGGCAGAGTGGAGGAAGTAAGAGGACACCCCAAGCCGAGAGGGCAGCAGGACCAAAGCCTCAGAAGCCAGGGCGCTGAGGAGGGGCTCTGTTACCCAGGGTGAAGTTTGCACGGCAGGAGGACAGGGGGCCTGGATCGGGGAGACAGCTGCTCTTTTCCCCCAGCGTGGCCCCTTTACATCTCTGGAGAGCTGGGGCGTCTACAACTCCAAGTCATAGCCTCCACCCTAACCCTGCTGCTGTGGTGAGGATGAGCTGTCTGTGGGGGGAAGGCTCTTGCAGGAATGAGCCTGGTGGAGAAGGGACAATGGCGTCCCAGGCCGAGGAACAGCACAGGCAGAGGCCTGGGGTGAGTTTAAGGAGTGTAGGGGAGGAAATGGCAGAAGATGAGCCAGAAAAAGAAAGTTTAGGGCATGTCCTGGAGGAGGTTGAGTGGCTGTTTGGGCTTTATCTAATAGTGGGGGAGCCCTGGCAGGCTTGTGGCTTAGATGGGTACTTTAGAAAGCCCACTAGCAGCTGCTTTGGGCTTTTAGCCCACCCCCACTTGCCAGGCCCTGTCCTAGGCCAGGAAATACAAAAGTGAGCAGGAAAAGACTCCCTCTCAAGGCTCACGTCCTAGTGAGGAGAGAGACAAGAACCACACAGATGTGCAGTATAACATGCTGTCCAGTTCCAGTAAGTCCAGTGAAGAACAAGTGGGGCAGGTTCAGGGAGGGGGCGGGCTCCTTTGTAAGGGGAGGTCGGGGGAGGTGTGTCTCAGAGGACAGCAGAATGGAGCTCAGGAGCAGCGCTTGGCAGTCACAAGGCAGGCTGTGGGGCAGAGGGAGCTGTGCAGGGCAGGAGTGTGTTTGCTGTGTCCTAGGAACAGCCCTGAGGCTGTGGTGTTGCTGGAGTGTTGCAGGTGCTGGGGAAACAGATGTCTCCTGAGTGTGACAGGATATAAACAGATTTCCGGAAGGGACTGACATGATCTGACTTAAAAAGGTTAGGGTGGCGTCGGTGTGCAAAACGGCCTATGGGGGACAGGAGTGGGAGGTGGGAGACAGGAGACAGTGTGCACCAGGACAGCAGAAAGACCTCCGGGAGGCCTGGAACAGGGAGATGGTGTAGAGATGGTGGCAGTGCGATGAGAGTCGTAGGGCAAGACCAGCGGGATCCAAGAGTGAGACCGGAGGTAAAGTCACTGGGACTTGGTGCCTCCACATCAGGGGCAGGGGAGAGGAAAAGGAGGGGCGACCCTGGAGGTAAAAGATGGGACTGGGGCTGGGTGCCGTGGCTCATGCCTGTAATCCCAGCACTGTGGGAGTCTGAAGAGGGTGGATAGCTTGAGGTCCAGGAGTTCGAGGCCAGCCTGGCCAGCAGGGTGAAACCCCTTCTCTACTAAAAAACACAAAAATTAGCCTGGCGTGGTGATGCACGCCTGTAGTACCAGCTACTCAGGAGGCTGAGGTACAAGAATCGCTTGAACCCGGGAGGCAGAAGTTGCAGTGAGCCGAGATTGTGCCATTGCACTCCAACCTGGGCGACAGAGCAAGACCGTCTCGAAAAAAGATGGGACCGGGAACAGGTTTAAGGGAGGGAGACTCCTTCCGCCGTGACCCACAAAGACCAGCTTTTCCTCACGGAGTAAAGGGCGGACCGAGGTCCCGGCAGGGTGGGGCTGCCAGGTGGAGGCCGCTTTCCGCCTGCCTGGGCTGGACACCCGGATGTCCCGCGCCCTTTCCTCCTCCACCCTTTCTTAGCCAAGAGGCAGGAGCTGTGGTTCGGGGCTTGGCCGCTGGGTGGCAGCACAGAGCCAGGCTCCTGTCTCGGGACTTCTGGGGAAGGGGCGTGGCCTGCAGGGAGGACTTGGTGTCGGATAGGGGGTCTCCTGCAGAACCACGGTTTCCCTGTCAGCGCTGGCTGTGCATCTAGTGGGAAACGTCCTGGGGTCGACTCCTTTCTGGCATTGGCTTTGGAATCAAGCGAGGTGCTGGATGTAAAGTGCCTGGCACACCAGCGAGCCAGTTCTACCAGGGTGGCCCGACCTGAGCCGACCCCAGACCCTGCTCATGGTTCTGGCTCAGGCCTCTTATCACAGCCCGTGCTTCATCCTCCTGTTGACAATCCACACACATCCTGCCGCCTCCTGGCTTTGCTCAGGCTCTTCCCCGAGGCTGGAAAGCCCTTTCCCGGGCCTCAGGGAATTTTCCCATGGTCCTTCAGGGGCCCACTCTGAAACTGTTGCTTCCCGGAAGCCTCAAGTGCGCCCTTGTCCTTGTGTCTCTGCCTGTCTTGCCCATTACTAGCTGCATAGGTTCTTCTTGTCACTGCTTCAAGTGGAGAAGAGCGTGGCTGCTTTGACATGGGTTGTCCTGGATTCAGGTCTTCAAGATGCTTCAGCTTCTCACCTCCATTTCTCCCCTGGGTCTTGGAGACAACTTGAGCCCATGTGCTGGGCCACTTGAGGCCCACCTGCAGATTCCAGCCGGGCTGGGGCTGGAGGGAGGGCTACTCACACCTGGCTGTTGCTCTGTCTCGAACAGGCCACCTACATCTACATGAAGGCCGCCTACCTCAGCATGTTTGGGAAGGAGGACTACAAGCCGTTTGGGGATGACGAAGTGGAATTATTTAGGTGGGTCCCACCATCGTGCTCCCACCGTGTAGGCCTCCGCTATGGGCAGACCACCAGGCCACCCTGAACTGTGGGCATCAGGGAGGGGGGCAGCTCCCTGTCCCCACCCCAGGACCACCCCACCTGTGTGTCCTCCCATCGCCACCCCATGCTGCTGCTGCTACTGCTGGCTGGAGCCCTCTGAATTTCTTCAGAGTCTTTCTTTCACAAAAGTGGTTTTTGTCGACATCATCTCCCTCTGAATCTCTTTCATCTGGGCAGTAGGACAGATGTGGTCACCAAGGTCCAGGGAGGGAAGGTCCTTCACTCTGCTGAGTTAACCTGAGACACTCAGAGAAGCACAGCCGAGAGCTGACAGTCGGAATCAAACAAACAGGAGCAAACTCAGCCTCTGCTCGTTCTTAGCTGTGTCACCTTGCACAACTTCAGCATCAGCAAAATGGGAATAACAACCTCTACCTCACAGCACTGTTTTGCAAATCAACTAGATAATAAATGTAAAGAGCCTGGCAGAGAACTGGGAGCCTAGAAGCTGCCCACTAAGTGCTGGCTGTTTTCATTCTTACCTGTATCACGGTGTTTGCTTCCTGTGAAGCATCTTTAGAGCAGAGCTCAGCCTTGGCAGGTGAAGGATGGAGCTTAGTGCCTTCCACCAGTCGTGGTGATGTTGACTCCAATTTGCAGACCTGGAAGTGGGTATAATATGAGCCTCCTACGCTACTGGTGTCACACCTGGTGTCACAGTAATAGGGCATTTATCACTTCCAGAGTGTCTGCTGCTACAGCAGACTCCATGTCCCCCTCTCAGATGACTCTTCCAGAGCGCCCAGGAGGGCAGGTGTCATTACCTCCATTTTAGAGGTGAGGAAATTGAGGCTCGGAGAGGTTCTGCAGTGAATAAGCAAAGAGTTTGTGGATGTGGGAACCTCACACCCACATCCAGCTGTTTCCTGAGCCTAAATGGCTCTGGTCTGAGGTTACAGCCACACCCAGTGACTGTGGCAGAAATAGGAGGAGGATGGGATGGAGCTGGGTGGGTGAGGCCCCAGATGTGGAGGTGTGCCTGGCTGCATACCACATTTTTCTCTGCCCTTGGAAACAGCTGAGAAGGCCAGAACTTGAGAGGCAAGAGTTAATTAAGGGTTTGAGCTGTTTAGTCTTGGGTAGGTCCCACCCTTTCTCTGGGTGTTAGTCTCTCCTGTGAAATTGGGATTAGACTTCTCTTGGGTCATCCCTGGAAATGGGTCCTGGGAGTGGAGGAGACAACTAGGAGGCAGAGCCAGTACAGGGGTGTTTGGCACACTCTCACCTCTGCCAGCTGGCGAGGAGGAGCCCCTTGTCCAGCCATAGGAAGTGGCCAGGTCTTGGGACAGGGTCTCTAAAATAAGACCATAGCTCTAGGCTGTTTCAGACCTAGAAGGCTCTTTGGAGTCCAACACTGTCATCACACAGATGAGGAAACTGAGGCCCAGAGAGGGGTCAAGCGTGGCTGGGTAGGCTGGAGACCTTCTGCCCTTCCCTGCTGTTTTTCATCCTCTCCCACCCTCCCCATCTCTTTCTCAGAGCTGTGCCAGGCCTGAAGCTCAAGATTGCTGGGAAATCTCTACCCACAGAGAAGTTTGCCATCCGGAAGTCCCGGCGCTACCTCTCCTCCAACCCCATCTCGCTGCCAGTGCCTGCTCTGGTGGGTAGGAAGTCTGGACTGGCGCTGCCCTCCGGGTATAGGATTGTGGGGATTCATTGAGAGCCACAGCCAGGGGGAAGTGGATGAGGAGAAAGACCTTCATGCCTCAGGCGCCTGGGGAGGGTTTCACAATTCACCTGGGACCTGGCAGGAGGTGCTCAGATAAGTCTGGCCCAGCCCCTGCCCCTTAGAAAGTGATGGTCCACTGGGGCTGGGGGTGGAGAGACAGGCAGGCAGGCAGGCAGGCTGCAGATATGGAGAGGCAGAGAGGGCGGCCCTCCTAGGCAGACAGCCCCATGTCCCTGCGCCCTGAGCAGAGCATCCCCCCAGGCCGCCTCTGTTCCCAGCCTGTCTGCTCCAGTCCTGTCACAATGATTATAATTGTTTTCACCATCCCCCTCACTCGACCAACCTTTTCACGTTATATGCAACTCTAAACTCACATAATAGCCTACATTGTTACCAAGCACTTGCTCTATTCAAGGCTGCCCACACCCATTGCCTATTGCCTCATTTGAGCCTCACATCACCCCTCTGAGTAGGCGCTGCTGGTATCTCCATTTTATAGATGGGGGTAATAAGGCCTGATAAATCAGTAGGAAGATCAAATAACTTGCCCAGGTCAGACAGCTGGTGAGTTGGAGTCAGAATTTGAACTCAGTGGTCTGGGCCCACAGCCCATATTCTGAGCCATGGTTGTGATGCTAATTCTATGCACGATTTGAGCAGGTGTGAGATAAAGTTCTAGCTTGGTAAGTCCTTGTTATTCAAGTAGTAAGGGAGCCGGAAAGGTAGAAGGAAGCCTGCTCGAGAGACCTTTTTCTAGTCCTGGCTGTACTGTTCATTAACTGAGTAGCTTTAGGTCTGTTCCTTCTTCTCCTTATGTAAAATGGATATAATAATAGATTCCTTTCCCATTTCTTCTTTTTTTTTTTTTTTTTAAACGGAGTCTCACTCTGTCACCCAGGCTTGAGTGGCATGATCTTGGCTCACCGCAACCTCCACCTCCTGCGTTAAGCAATTCTGCCTCAGCCTCCTGAGTAGCCTCCTGAGTAGCCCTAAATATAGCTACTATGAATGAAAGTTTAATTTAGTATTCTTATTATTTTATTTATTTTTAAATATGTATTTTAGAGGTGAGGTCTCACTCTGTCATCCAGGCTAGAGTGCAGTGGTGCTATCATAGCTCACCGCAGCCTCAAACTCCTGGGCTCAAAGGATCTTCTCATTTCAGCCTCCTGATTACAGGATGCACCACCATGCTCAGCTACTATTTTTATTTTTTTGTAGAGATGGTATCTCGCTGGGTTGCCCAAGCTGGTGTTGAACTCCTGGGCTTAAGAGATCCTCTCAATTCAGCCTCCCAAAGTGCTGGGATTGCAGGCATGAGCCACTGTGTTCAGCCTAATTTAGTATTCTGAGCTTCCTGGCAGTTGAGGCAAAAACAAACAAACAAAAAGGAACCAGTAGCTTGACAAAGACAAGGTGAAAAGAAAAGGAATTTATTTTTCTTCGAGACAAGTCTCACTCTTGTCACCCAGGGTGGAACGCAGTGGGGTGATCATAGCTTACTGCAGCCTAGATTTCTTGGGCTCCAGCGATCCTCCCACTTCAGCCTCCCGAAGAACTGGGACCACCATGCCTGGCTAGCCTTTTTTTTTTTTTGGTAGAGACAGGGTTTCACCATGTTGCCCAGACTGCTCTCAAACTCCTAAGCTCAAGTGATCATGATTCACCTGCCTCAGCCTCCCAAAGTGCTGGGGTTACAGGCATGAGCTGCCATTCCTGGCCCGAAGATTTTGTGGGTTTTTCGGAGGTGGGGATGGAGTCTGTTTTTGTCACCCAGGCTGGAGGGCAGTGGCGCCATCTGGGCTCACTGCAACCTCTGCCTCCTGGATTCAGGCGTTTCTCCTGTCTCAGCCTCCTGAGTAACTGGGATTACAGGTGTGTGCCACCACTCCTAGCTAATTTTTGTATTTTTATTTCTATTTATTTATTTATTTTGAGATGGAGTTTCACTCTTGTTGCCCAGGCTGGAGTGCAATGGCGCGATCTGGGCTTACCACAAACTCCACCTCCCAGGTTCAAGTGATCCTCCCTCAGCCTCCTGAGTAGCTGGGATTACACGCATATGCCACCATGCTGGCTAATTTTGTATTTTTAGTAGAGATGGGGTTTCTCCATTTTGGTCAGGCTGGTCTCGAACTCCTGACCTCAAGTGATCCACTGTCTTAGCCTCCCAAATAATTTTCGTATTTTTAGTAGAGATGGGGTTTCATCATTTGGCCAGGCTGGTCTTGAACTCCTGACCTCAGATGATCCTCTCACCTTGGCCTCCCAAAGTGCTGGGATTACAGGTGTGAGCCACTGCATCTGGCCACCTATATATATATTTTTTAATTAAAAAAAAAAAGAATCTAAGAAAGAAAAAGGAATCAGATGTGTTTTAAGAGTCTCATGATGGTAACTTAGTTCTAAAGGAAATGGAATGTGAGTATCATTATTTAGCCCGTTGCATTGGGAGAATAAGAGTAGGAGAGAAGGTGACACATCCTTAAATTCTGTTATCCTGAAGTGCATGTGTGGAGTATGGCCTAGTCCTCAAAGGACAGAAAGAGTTTGGCCCCAGAGAGTTTGGGAGAGAGGACATGATAGCACTCAGGGAGGGCATGAGCAGAAAAGTAGCTGGAAAACTCCAGCAGTTATGAGCAGCACAGTGTGGACATCGGTCCATCTTACATCTTCACTGTGGTAAGGTGAGATCTCAGTAATAAATCAACGATAAGGCCCCCATAATCCCATCTGGCCCGCAGCTTCACAGGCTGACTGAGACCTCTCATGGAAGATTAGAGCTAGAAGGCCTTTAGTGGACCTCTGATCTACACTGCCCATTTTGTAGATGGGAAAACTGAGGCTCCATTAGGGAAGAAACCTAGGACTGACTTGCCCTCCTGCCTTCAGGAAATGATGTACATCTGGAACGGCTATGCTGTGATTGGGAAGCAGCCAAAACTCACGGATGGGATACTTGAGATTATCACCAAGGCTGAAGAGATGCTGGAGAAAGGTCCAGGTAACTTCCCACAGGCCCTTGAGCCTCCCAGGCTAAGTCAGGTCTTTACAGCTGAAGGTCCCCTCTGCCAAAAATCTCCTTCCTCCTTTCCCTACCCTGGGAACTCTCCTTTACCTCTGTAGACTGAGTTCCTCCAAGCAGCTGTCCCTTGTCCCCCTGGTAGGGTCAAAGCCTCTAGGTTCCCATAGCCATGGGGCTTCCTTCAGTCCTGACCTCTCTGTATTGTCATTGTCAATATCTGTCTTTCCTTCTCAGATGTGACTCCCCCTCCCTGGAACAGGGACCATGTCTGATTTACCTGCATCCCCTGGGCCAAGCACAGAGTAGGGGGCTCCATAAGTAACTGCTGCAAAAATAAACAAGCCTGTCTTTTTCCCTCACATCCCTATTTTCAGAGAACGAGTACTCAGTGGATGACGAGTGCTTGGTGAAATTGTTGAAAGGCCTGTGTCTGAAATACTTAGGCCGTGTCCAGGAGGCCGAGGAGAATTTTAGGAGCATCTCTGCCAGGTTAAGTGCCTCTTCAGCTGCTCCTGCTGGGTCTGAGTTTCCTGGGTAGAATTTTCAAAGGGGGCTCCATCCTCATGCCCACTGCAGTAACTGACCCTAGCCAACCCCCACTCACTACACAGGTACTAGACTAGTGTCCACTCTGTGCCAGGACCTGTACAGATAATTGAGACCTAGCCTCCCAGTGCCACCAAATTGCCTGACTACAGGAGCCCACCCACGTTGTTTCGAGTGAACAGTGTCCCCTGGAGTTAGTAATTCAGCGACTCTGCCCTTGCCCTCGGGGAGGGCAATGTGACAAATGGCAAGCTGTAGGCAACCCAACAAAGCCTCGTCAGGGCCATGCTAGAGGAAAGCACAGAGGACAGCAGGTGCCCCAAGGAGGGACCTAAACATAATGGGAGATACCAGGAAAGGCTTTCCAAGGCTGATGTTTAAAGTGGGAAGTTCATCAGGCAGAGAAAGCAAAGGAGGACAGGTTCAAAGTGGAGAAGGTACAGCACACACAGTGCATGGACACAGGAAAGACGCCTGAGGTGGGCTGATGGCAATGAGGTCTTTACCTGCCTGGGAGAAATCGTAGGAAGGATTGAAGATGAAATAAGGAGGGATAGACTGAGAAGGGCCTGGATGTTTTGTTCACAAGGCTAAATTGTATCCCAAAGAAGAGAGCCAGAAAGTGTACCAGGCAAGGAAGCCTTTGGGTTTAAAAGTATATCTCTGGAGCAGCATGGAGGTCAGCTCAGAGGGGGCGGGTCAGAGACAGGAGACTTTCCAGTTTAATAAACCATTCATCCTGGAGAATGGGAGGTTGGGACTTAGGTGGCAGTGAACTAAGGACATGACAGGAGCCATAGGGTGTCAGGGAGCTGGAGCCCAGTGTACAGGATGGTAAGCCTTTGCTGTGGATCCTAGCCTTTCTAGGGCTTGGTAGTCCAAAATTGGACTTGAGGTTAGGAAATCCTTACATGCAGTTTGGGAAAGGCTCAGGAGGTGGAACTGAGCCATGTCCTCTGTTCTGCAGTGAAAAGAAGATTAAATATGACCACTACTTGATCCCAAATGCCCTGCTGGAGCTGGCCCTGCTATTTATGGAGCAAGGCAGAAATGAAGAGGCCATCAAACTCTTGGAATCTGCAAAGTAAGGCTTGGGTAACCTCAATCTGTCCTTTGCTCCCTCTGAACTCAGCTCAGAAGCTGGCTAGGGGCAGAGTTGGCCAGGCGGCAGTGAGTGGAGTTGCTAGCGAGGGCAGCCCGACAGTCTAAGGGGCAGACTGTGTCCCTCAGAATCCAGCTCTCATTGTCATAGGAAGGCATCTTTCTCAATGTATGAATGGGCAGTTAGGACTCCCAGAGGCAGGAAGTACGTTCCCAGGGTCACACCAGAAGCCAGCTGCACGGCTGTGTGAGGACTCATACCTCCTGCCTTCCAGGGTAGGGGTCTGTTCCCTAAAACCACCCCTTCAAGTTTATGAACCCAGGAGGACCAAGAGTGGTTCCAGTGGGCATGATACCAGGGGTAAGGGGCCACAAATGCTTCTGGTTAATTCTCCCATTGGGCAGGGCTCAACTCTCTCTGGACACAGACAGGAATTTCTCTACAATTCTTCCTTGGCTGGTGGGGCTCACATGGCTCAAACAGGAGAAAAAGCATCTCTGGGAGCAAACAGCCTCATGTGTCTGATTCTCTGCTCAATTCCAGGCAAAACTACAAGAATTACTCCATGGAGTCAAGGACACATTTTCGAATCCAGGCAGCCACACTCCAAGCCAAGTCTTCCCTAGAGAACAACCGCAGAGCCATGGTCTCATCAGTGTCCTTGTAGCTTTGTGCAGCAGTTCCGGGCTGGAAGACAAAGAGACAGCTGGACAGAGCTCCTGCAAACATTTCAAAAGATCCCCTCCCCTGCCCTGCCCTGCCCTGCCCTGCCCTGCCCTGCCCTGTCCTGCCCTGCCTTTGGGGTCCACTGGCACTCCAGTTGGATGGCATGACATGGGTATCTGTGCAGAAGCCAAGCTGGCATTTTCACCAGTGTGGCCAAGGGCCTTTGCCAAGGGCAGAGCAGGTAGAGCCCTCTACCTGCCCTATCACACATACGGGTACTTGCTTTTCACTGTGATGTTTAAGAGAATGTATGAACAGTTTACATTTTCCTTAGAAATATACGGATGGGATCACAGTTGGCTTTAAAAACCAACACCAACCAACCACCTGCAAGTCTTCGTTTTCACCCATTATGATCTGGAGGTAAATCGCTTTATATGATGCCAAAGGGCAAACTGCTTGTCAAATTCAGCAAGTTCTCAGCTTGTGTGACTGAAGGGCCTTCAGAGGACCTGAGAAATGCCTGGGAGAGGCTAAGCCTCAGGTTTTAATGCTTCTGGGGCTGGGCATGAGGATGCACACGGACACCCACTACCTTACTACTCACACTTCATTTCACTCCTTTTGTAAATTTCCAATTTAAAAATCAGCACGTCTTTTTAGTGAGATAAAATCTGAGCTCTTCTATAGAAAAATCAGTCTCCACCAGTAGGAAATACCAGGGCTTGATGGAAGAGCTGTGTGGCCTTTTCTGTGCCAAAGGCAGGAAGTTGGGGGGCAGGAGGAGGTTCTCAGAAGCCAGTCTGTATCTTTGCTGTATGTCAAACTGAAACCACAGGGACTAATTTATGAAACATAAAAGTCTTCTGTACTTCACTCCAGTAAGTCATTTACTTACTGACAGCATTTTTCTTAGAACTGTTATTCTTGACCTGTTGTGTATGTATTAGATTCTTCAGTTGAGAGAAAAGAGATATTAAAGTGATAAAATGTATGCCCTTAAGGGATCATGCAACATATATTTCAATAAAATATGTGTTGCTCGAGTCCTTAGGCCAGGCAGAAAGTCTTGATCAGAAGCCACATGGCTTATGTATGTTTTATTTAGACCACAAATGTTTTAAACTTTTTGAGTAAGTTACCAGCATTCACAAATGGGGAGATTTCACAAATGAATCTATTTCCTGGCCTGTAATTAAAAAAAATAAATCTGGCAACACTGAGCCTCATTCCCACAGGGCAACAATCAGCCAAAGCTAAGTCGAAGCTACTTTAAACACTTCTGTTACCTTTCTGACCCCTAAAACATCTGAATTTGCAATCTCTGGGACTGTTAAAGTGAGAACTCAGCTTCAATGACCAACACCAGGTTTTACCCTTCACTTTTCTGGGGGGGAAGGAAAATTTGTATTATTTTAAAGAAAACAAGTGTACATTTAACCCAGTTTAGTGTCAAGTTCTTTAGCCTTTGCCTTTTCGAGCTTGGCGATGCGAGCCACAGACTTGGGACCCAGGATATTGCCTCCCTAGTGACGGCAGATCTCATCGGATTTGTTGTTGTAATTGGTCCTGATAGCTTCCACCAGCTTAGCCAAAGTGCCTTTGTCTTCCAACCAGTGGCACAGGTCTTCCTGTGGACTAGATGTCCCAGTCTTGCCTTCCCCTCGATAATGCAGTAAGGGACACCCATTTTACGACACAGGGCAGGCAAGATGACAACCAGCTGGAAAAAAGCATTAGCTGAAGAGTGTATTTTGACCAAAAGCAGTAAATTTCAAAGCTAGCTTGGTAGCAACTGCTCAGGGTTAAAAAGCTCATGGATTCACACTTCAAGGTTGAATTCAGTAAGAGATTCACATCATTGTAATACCCTTCACTTTCTAATGTCAGCACATTTCAACCTAACCATTTCCCTGTAGGGAAAATCATGCACACAGTAAAAATATTCATCGTGAATATGTTACTCCCCAAATGCATGAATGCAATTTCTACAAGAGAAGAGCCAGTTAAATTTTCCAGTCTTACAGCATTGCTGTATTTAACAAACATGAGTATCTGCCAAGGGGCTCGGTTAATATATTAAGATCCAGTCAACCAGCCTCCTATGGGTGGTATTAAATGAAGTCACAGATTTTAGGCAAAATATATTCTCATTAGGAAAAACAAAACAAAGCAAAAAATGCTCATCCAAGATCATCTTTTGCAATGGGTATTGTCAGTGCAGAAATGCTATGAAAAAATATCATTTTGTTAGGATGAAACAAAAGAATGTCCTCCATAGACAGCAATCCCTGTGCAAGCTATCTATCTCTTCTCTAAAGCCTGGATGCTGGGAGAGCAGCCTGATTCTAGGCCGCTGGACGGGACAGAGTGAGGGGGTAAAGAGGAGCAGTTAGAGACAGGCTGCAGGAAGGCGGGCCTGCATGGCTCCCACATGCTGGAATGCTGCCTGCTGCTGTATCAAAGCAGCACTGGTCACAGAACCACACATATACTTTGGAAAATTGAAGTTTACCAAAAAAACTTTATCTCAACATTCATTTTTGGTGCTTTAATTTTAAAATTTTGTTAAGATGATTTCCTCGTCAACATTTGCTGTTGTTGATTTCTTGCTGGGCTTCATTAATTAATCCCATGTCACTTTTACCTCTGCGGCCTTTAAGATAAGTCAGTGGGTTTTGCCTCCTGTATCCCCCCTGCAAATTCTGAGATAATCTATCAAAGAAAAATGTATGTGAAGAACAATGAAAACATCAGGTTTCTAACATCACCATATCCTTATGCAAAGGCCTTAGAAAGTGAAAATTCTGTCATAGGCTCTCAATGTCTTATTTGAGTAATTGTAGTCACTGGTTCTCTAATAGTGCAGACGTTCCCAGCACATCTGCCCTGGAGAGGCTGCTGATGAGGTAGAGAGTTTGAGCCTGGAAATAAGGAGACCTGAATTCTAGTCCTGGCTTTGCGACTGATTTTCAGAGTACCCCTGGGAAAGTCACAGATCCTCTAAAAATTAGCAATTTGGACTAGGTTAAGGCTCTTTCCTGCCCTCTACAGTTTGTTTATGGGTTTTCATCTGCAAAATGAGGCAACAGATACACCTCCCTACCTTTCTGCCAAAGCCTTGCATCCCTAAACAATTCAACCAGAAAGGATAGAGTTCCTTAGGGGCTCTACAGTAGCCAGAACACCCAGAGAGCAAGTAATCCTCATTTAGAGAACATCTTAATCCTGTGCCCCACATTCGAATTCAATTGTAGGGATGTAGCAACTGTGTAACATGACCTGAACAGGCCCTCGGCAACAGAAAGTCTACCTCAGCCTCTCACTGGTCACAGGCCCTCAGACTGGCAGAGTGGCTTCTAGCAGTGTGTTGGGCCTCCGCTCTCCCATGCGTTGGTAGGTTGCCCTATTCCTTATCTCTTGAGCCAGAATGGGAGTGTTTCCAAGACAGTTATCATCATTCACAGCAGAAAGCCACGACCTGACATCAAAGCCAGGATCCTAAAAGGCCAACACCAGCTCGATTTGGCTGAGGTCCAGGTGGGAGATTCCCAAGTGAAGAATGGCACCAAGAGGTTTTAAGAAAGCCTCAGTGCACTGAGTACTAGAACCATTCAAGGGAATCAAATCCAGACCCTTTCCTCTGGAGTTTCCCAAGTTCATTTCTTCTAAGACGATGGGAGTCAACAGTCTTTTCCATGTTTGCTTCAAATTTAAAGTCTAACAGTGCCTTCTCAATGTCTTTAGCATCATCATACTAATTCAGTAGTAAATGAGAGGTGTCTGGATTCTGAAACCCAAGCAGCAAACCGGAACATCTCATGCCTACTCCCAGATGCAGCTCTTCCAAGAAAGTGCCCTGCTGCTTGGATTAGCACAGTTCCTTTGAATTCCAGTGCAAAGTTCATTACTGATCAATAGGCTAGGTCCACAAACAAGAAGCCTCATTTGGGGGCTTAAAAAAATCCATTTCTAAATGAGCAATCTATGGCTGCTTCCACTATATAAAGTCAACTGTTAAGTGACAAAGTAAGAATAGAGCCCTTTGAGGAGACATAGAATTAACCACTGAAGGTCTCTATGGACTGTTAAAAGTTGATGTTTAAGTTTAATCAGAGACATCACAGCTATTGTCTCACAAATGACTAGATCAGTTTTTTTTTTTCCTCCACATGAACACTTCAGAACATCAGACATCATATGCTTTGGGGAAAAGAATAAAAAGCTAGTATTTATTACATATTCATTATGTGCCAGTTGCTATGCTAAGCACTTTACACTTAGGTAATGCTCATAACATGTAATCCTATGAAGTGGGGCCATTGTCATTTTGCAGATGGCAAAACTGAGGCACAGGTGAATAAGTTGCCTAAGATCACACATCCATTAAGCAGCAGAAAGATTTGAAGACAGACTGCTGAGCTCCAAAGCCCATACTTTGCTACACTGTTGGTCAAGCTGTAAAATTATGTGTAAAGTTAGACCCAGCTTATAGACTCTTGGGCCACTGTGAAAATGGAAGAAGTACTAGCTAATCAGCCACTGGAAATGCTTGGCTGTGAACACATGGAGCACGTCTGTGTGCCATGGTTCCCTCTGGCACTTCGCATCATGAGGTAGGGAGAGGGTCTGACTTGGAAAAAGCAAAAAGAAAAGCAACCCTTATTTTGCAGAAAAACAGTATTTGCTCAGAAAATCATCAAGGGATGATGGAGGAAAAGGCATGATCCAATCCCCACTTGGATAGGTAGTTCCAGTCCACTACTCCAGAGATGGGAAGTGAAGCCTGCACTGAGGCTTGACACATGCCAAGTCATGTGCTAGAAGGGGTTTCGTATAAGACAATAAGGGAGAGGACCACTAGCAAACTGGGAAGCATATGACGCCAAAGGCACTCGAAAACTGTTTTAGAGTTTTAACACTTATGAGTGCTTGCCTAAGCACATCACATTTGCGGGTCAAAGTGACCCATGGGCCACAGCTTTGTTCCTCTTGGTCCTGAGTTGACTTCCTACAGTTCTCTGAAAAAGAGGTTGTGAGCAAATCACAGTATGAGAAAGCCTGGTTTACTAAAAATACCCAGCTTTTAAGTTCAATTAATCACATGGGATGGTGGATAAAAGCACAATATATTCAACTTAGTCAAACTACTTCACCCCGTTTGGATAATCAGTTTACTTTAGGCAAGATGGGGTTTAAATGCCAACTGCTTCACAAGGGTTGCTGAGGATAAAGGGCAATCATGTAAATAGCCTAGCACGGCCCCTAGTGTACAGTATTAAGGTAAATTTATTGGCTCACTTCTACTGTGCGAAGACAATCGTGGATTTGGCCTGAGGGATGACTGAATCGGGGGCACCAGTGCCACCATTAAGCTTTCTCCATCTCTTGGCTTTTGCTCCTATGTTAGATTCTCTTGATCTGTCTTCTCTGAATGGCAGGAGTAAGTGGCACTTTAGGTCTCATGCCTTACAGCATATGGCCAGTGAAGCAAAGGGCGGCTTTTCCTAATTCCAGTATGAACAATACCAGATAAAGACAATTAGTCTGGCTTGGCTCAAATTCCATCTCTTAGGCAAGTGGTTCTCAAAGTGTGGTCCTTGATCAGCAGCATTAGCATCCCCTGGGAACTTGTTAGACATACAGATTCTCAGATCCCATCTTGACCTAAAAACTGTAGGTTTGAGGCCCAGCTATCTGAGGTTTTTTTTGAGACAGTCTCCCTCTGTTGTCCAGGCTGGATTGCAGTGACACAGTCTTGGCTCACCGCAACCTCCACCCCCCAGGTTCAAGCAATTCTCCTGTCTCAGCCTCCGGAGTAGCTGGGATTACAGGTGCCTGCCACCACGCCCAGCTAATTTTGTATTTTTAGTAGAGATGTGGTTTCACTATGTTGGTCAGGTCTCGAACTCTTGACCTCAGGTGATCCTGAGGTGACATGAGCCACCATGCCCAGCCACAGTCTGAGTTTTTGAAAGACCTGTAGATGGCTGAGTGCAGTGGCTCATGCTTGTAATCCCAGCACTTTGGGAGGCTGAAGTGGGCAGCTCACCTGAGGTCAGGAGTTTGAGACTAGCCTGGCCAACATGGTGAAACCCCATCTCTACTAAAAATACAAAAATTAGCCAGGTGTGGTGGCGGAGGCCTGTAATCCCAGCTATTCGGGAGGCTGAGGCATAAGAATTGCTTGAGTCTGAGAGGCGGAGGTTGCAGTGAGCCAAGATCGTGCCACTGCACTCCAGCCTGGGCAACAGAGGGAGACTGTGTCTCAAACAAACAAAACAGACCTGCTGATGAATCTGATGCACACAGAAGTTTGAGACCCTCTGCCCTAGAATGGGAGGGAGGTACCACAATTGGCCTACCTTCAGACATATGCTCAGTGGGTGTATTACTAAAAGGGAATATGATGTATTGGACAAACAAAAACACCACAAATC